TGGACAAAATGCACAGTGGCACATTTGGCAACAACAAAGTATATCAGCACAAATATCTCATACCAGCTGTCCAGCTCAAAATAAACTAGTACCAAGGATGTCTGCAAGCTTTGGATATACATAAAATACACTGAGCATGTCTTATAATTATGTTTCCTAATTGCAGATACTCCACGAACATGGAATCTGATTCACACCATATCTTGGGTGTTAAACCTGTTTGGGATTTTCTTCATCCTGGCTGCTCACGAGCACTACTCCATCGACGTGTTCATCGCCTTCTACATCACCACCCGCCTCTTCCTCTACTATCACACCTTAGCTAACACTCGTGCCTACCAGCATAGCCGAAGGGCACGCATTTGGTTCCCCATGTTCTCCTTTTTTGAGTGTAACGTGAATGGACCCGTCCCCAACCAGTATCACTGGCCCTTCAGTAAACCGGCCTTCATGAAAACTCTGATTGGATAAAGTTGAAGTTACAGTAGTGGAAACATGCATGGGACTCTAATGTGAATGCCTTAGTGAAAAAACTTGATAATTTATTATACAAAAAAACTTAAAAACATGTTCTCTTTGATTAATTTCTCTGATAAAAGTGACAGTTGTGGAACAATACTTTCTTACATGTTAGATTAGCTGTCAATATAGAAGTTAGCTAACTTCTATGTTGACATTTAGCTAAGCTTAGCACATGGACTGGAAACCGGGGTATAGTTGACCAGGGTCTGTTTAAGGGTACACTACCAGCACATTTGAAATGATAAACTCTTTTATAAACATCAAGTTTTAGTAATACTGATGTTTTGATATTTGTTGTTTGGATTTTTATTTTTTTATTTTTTAACTTTGGATAAATGTCGTTGGTTGTTTCTGGTCTTTACGCTAAGCTAAGCTATGCTGTCTGGCTGCTAACTATAGAGGTTTCTCACAGGACAACAGATTTCTCACCATGTTGGACATGATACAACCACCAGTTGCTAAGAAAAATACATTCACCCTGTGATTGCCGTGGTTGCAAGAAGATCATTGTAAACGTCTGTAGTTAGCATGGAAGATACCAACTTAAGTGGAAATACTCTCTTACTAACCACTGAGTGGTAGTGAAACTTGGAAAAAGTGTAGCGCAAACCAGAAATGGAGATTGTCTCCAAAATAAAAGCTGTTTCTCACAGTTTACAATGTTATTTTTAAAACTCAACTTCTGCTTTCACTTTAAAGTCAAATAGTCTCTGTTTGTTGGACTTCTCACAGTTTAACTACTTTTTGGAGAGCAGTTGGTGAGTGATTGCAGACAAGTTGCTGTTTTCATGCTACGTAACTATGGGGAATCAAAATAATCTCAAAGAGGTTTTTGCCAACCAGTAGGGGATTACTCGTTTTTCCCTAGTAACTGGTGGGGGTCGGGTCACTGAATGTTCTCTACACCTGTGAGAGTGGGGCCTTATTTACTTGGCCTATATTGTCACATGTCCAAAATGGCAAAAGTTAACATCACGTGGTTAGCGGTCACATGACTCCAAAAAGTCAGTTTCATATGTACATTATATCAGACGCTGAATAAGTGTTTGTCTCAAAATGTTGAGCAGTACCTTTAAATGTAATTGCACACTGCCAAAGGAAAAGAATGAGATTTATTTGTTGGCTAAGCGATGCAGGTACATTTATTTTCTTTGAAGATTTGCCTTTAAATGATCACTTTTGTCATTCTTAGCTTCTGCTTTGGGTTTGTTTACTGTTCGGTGGTGGTTTGGGTTTTTGGTGGTACTTGATAATTACAGCAGAAATCTAATGAGATAGCTGTGGGTTGATACTGTAGTTGTGCCTCTTCGGAAGTTGAGGTGGTGATGCCTCAGAGCTCAGGCTTTGCTGCAAACATATCTGACACCTGTTGGATAGCTGCTACCAAAGGAGCACTCGTTTCTTTAGATGTGCAAAAAAAAATAAAAAATCCTCTGCACTAACATAAAAAATGTCTTTTATTTCACTTGCACTAAGATGAACTCACCACTGACATAGAGCTCCCTATATTCAGAGTTAAACTCAATAAAGTATGTGAATATTCATTGCAAAAAATGTATATTTTGCACATTAAACCTTATATGTGTAATTGTCTCTTTATCCCAGTTTGATACTCTGTCATGGTTTTCTACGATTTTTTTTGATTTTTTTTTTTTTTTTTTACTGATTGTTAAGTGGTGACTGTAGAAACATGGAGATATCATCTGTTGCCTATAAAGCTTTAAAAGCAGTTTGTTTTTTTTAAGCAAAGGTTCAAAAGTGCAGTGTCTGATCCAAACTTTTATCTCTTTAACTGTTTACAACGTGTATCGTTTATCGATGCAAGTAATCAATCTCTGCCTTTTGGCTCAGGAATAAAAGTTGCTAGACAAGGAAAATAACTTTTGTTTTTCTGACTAATTATTTCACGGCTGCTTTTTCACTGTGCTTGAGTTTGATTCGTGAGAAGAAACAAACCATTTCTATCGCTGGTGAAAATGTTGTTTTTGATATGCAGTTTCAACATAACCTGCTGGTCTTCTCCACCTTAAAACAAATATTTGATAACAAACGTTCATCACTGTTTAAATATTATCATAATGATATACATGGGAGTCACACCTTAATAAAATCCGTGACTACCGAATTTTCACACACAGTTTTTCTGTTGGCTGGGATACATCATAACTGAGGATGGTACGTATTTTACACTTTCTTTTATATATTCTCTAATCACAGCTATTTTTTAAAATAACTTTCAGTATAAATGTAAATATGAATAGTTATGAGATTTCAATCACGTAATTGTTGTCAGAGTGTATATATTTCACAAACTCAGTTCCAAAAATGTTATAAAATGTAAAAGAAAACAGATTTTTAAATCTCATAAACCCATGTTTTATTCACCATAGAATATGTAAATCATACCAGTGTTTAAAAAGAGAAAATTTAACATTTTTTAAAATTAATTTAATGGTACCAAAGCTTCCCTGTTTATCTCTGTGTTGCATCCACTCTTTTTTTAACTATAGTCCACAAAAATATTTCTTGATCGACCAAAAGTTTGGTTCACTTTGTCCTTTTTAAATAAGCTTTGGCTCAGAGAAGATGGTGGCTTTTCATCATCATGTTCATATATGGCTTCTTCTTTGTATGATAGAGCTTTAAGTGGCATTTGTGGATGACACAGTTAACTTTGTACAGTGATTTCTGGAAGTGTTTTTTTTTTTTGAGCCCATGCAGGGATTTCCGTGACAGATTCATCCTTGTTCTTAATCTCGTCCTGCCTGATGGACCAAAGATCAAACGTCCAGAATTCGTTTTCAGCCGTATCTCCTGCGCACAGAGATTTCTGCAGATGCTCTGAATCTTTGGATGATGTTTTGTGCTGTAGATGATGAAATATTCAAAGTCTTTGCAGTTTATGTTGGGTCACATTATTCTGAAATTCTTCCACAATTTGTAGAGGCAGATTTTTGCAGATTGGTAAACCTCTGCTCAGTCCTGTTGCTAACCTGTTGCCAATGAACCTAATTACAAATCTTTGACTTTCTTTTTAGTAATTGTACCTACTTTTTTTTTTAGATGTGGTACTGTCAATTCAGATTCAAAATAAGCTCATAATTTTCATGAATTAGTAAAATATCTTAGTTTAAACACTGAGTTTATGACACCTGCAAATCATTCTGCTTTTTCAGAATTATATTTTATATTTACACACGCCTCGGGTTATGTAAGATATAAGGTACAACTGTGTATACACTGTGTCAACTGAACAGAATAGTTGTTAGTCGAAGCAGTAGTTGGCCATTTCCTGTCATGTTAAAGGTCTTAAAAGGATAGAAATTACTTTAGTATGAAATGTGTTTCTCTTTCAGTCCTCTCTACATGTGTTTGTCTGTCTGCTGGGGCTCGTTGTGCTCTGTCACTCTCAATGCTTCTTCGAGGAGTTAGAGGTCAAAGATCCAAATAACCCTCCAAAAGGTGAGTCACATGAGACCTTTCTTGTACAGATACAATACTGCAGCAGTGCAGCAGGACACTGGGTGTGGGGGAAAGGTTTCTCTGTCATGATTTACAGATATTAGACATTTATTCCACATCTAATCCCTTAACCACACCTATGCATACACTAATAGATGCTTAAACACAAGTAAGGAGTGCCTCTGAGTAAGTAAGTCAACAACTCCTTTGAGTTGAGCTGTGTTTTCATTTCTTTACATGTAGGGTGTGTGGATAAGGATGGAGAGCTGCATGATTTTGACTCTGCATGGGTGAGAGACTGCATGGACTGCTCTTGTACAAGCGAGGGTTTGAGCTGCTGTACCAAGTAAGACTTCCACATTATTGTTTTTTTTTTAATCATTAAGGCATTTTTTCTTTAAACAAATAAACCTCTTTTCTCTCAGCTTTCTTACTCGTAGGACTGTGATAAGTTCTCTTTTTAGGCTTTAACAATGATAACTTCCAATTTTAGAGTTACTAAATGAACAAAACCCCTGAGATTGTTTTTGATTATTATTGTTTCTTTTTTTCTTTTTGTATCATAGGATCCCCGATGCAAACACTGTAGATGTTCCTGAGGAGTGTGAGCTGGTTGTGAATGAGAAGGCCTGCTCTGTTAAGGTGGTGATGAAGTCTGACAATGAAAAAGAGTGCAGCCCTGTCTGAATACACTCTAAAGGCGACTAAAATCCAGACCGGGTCTAGATTATGACATTAAATTACCAATGAACAAAGATGACCACTTTATCAAACTTGCTCTTCATCAATAAATTCGGTTCAACTCTGCTTCCTGAGTCTTCAGTGTCTTCTTGTCAGCACTTGCAGCTGGTTTCATTTTCAGGATGCAATTGAATAAATTCACCACTGTGTGACAGCAGAGCACGGTCCTCAGAGGGTCTTTGGCACCTGAAGGGGCTCTAAGCACAATTATAGCTGTGCTCCTCTCGCTGCTGCCTCTGACACAATCGCTTTGGTTGTTATAGTGCACAGCTTCTTCTCCAACTCTAATCCCTGAGGATTCACACCTGTTCAGAGCATCATTTTCTTTCATCCTGGCTTCACTGAAACTCATTTTTCAGCTAAACCATCACGTGAGTCCTTTATCTTTCTTTTTTTTTAAACACGCAATATTGATGTATTGAATGGATTCATCATCTTTGTCGAGGGAAATCAGTATTGATTAGGATTCAATCAGCTATGAAATGAATGCTGTATTGTTTCTAGACTGTCAGCTTGCAGTGTCCAGAGACTGTAAGCAGGTGTAATGTAGGTCTCTCCTTCTACAAATATCTTTTCAATTATACAGTCTAACAAAAGCATCTGACAGCACGCATGTCTGGTGGTATTTATCCAAAAGAAAACGCAAACAGGGGAACAACATTGCATTCATATTTCGTGTTCTTTGTTGAAATGTAAAGAGAACCACATTGTGAAAGTATTTGTAGTAGATTTGAGAGGTGTCACCCACAATCCCTGACACCTCCAGCAGATAACAAGGCTTAGCTCAGGTTGAGCACACTGCACAGTGCCTGCTGCCGTTACCCTGATTATCACCGGCACAAGGCAATATGAAAGAAAATAGTCTCTGAGCAGCTGTATCGATTGCACACACATATTGGACTATTCTTTTGGATTTAGGAAATTTTTAGAATCTAGTAAGTGGCTGTACTGGTAAGAAGTGAAGCAGAAACACAACCTGTGATTGCAGAGGGGTAATTGAAAGACTGGGCTTTTTTTGTTTTTCAGTCAAGCATATATCTTTATTTTCATTTTCAAATGCATTTTACCTGCAGTACAGATTCATTACACGCAAAAAACAAACAAACCCCAAATCGTTCATCCCTTTGGAATAGCACATGTCAGACCTTTATAATCAAGTGCAGTGTTCAGCTATAATAAACTATTTTTCATTTCTCAGAAATATTACCTTTATATGACACTACCCTCAGCACTCTTTAGCAGGTAGATTAAGTGCAAGATTGCTGCTTAAAAGGTATATGTGGAATCCACCTTTCACTGCACAGTACAATGTCTTTTTAAAAATAAAAAGGTGAAGCTTCTCCAAGGAAAATTACAGCCTTGCCTTCATTTCTGTTTCATCTATTTTCTCTGAGATGGAGGGCACTTTTTGAGGCAAAGATAAGAATAATATGACGGGTCAAGTGGAGACAGGTCACAGTGTTCCTTACCATGCAGAGACTTAGCGCTGCAGTGTGTCCAACACACTAACACAACTACTTGATGTATGTGTTCCCCACAGCATCGCACAATTGCAGCATTAGCGGTTTAAAAATGGCTGTTGGTTTTCAATATTTCCTTTTCTTACTACTGCTGTACATGGTTTCTACTCACTGTTGCAGTTATTTGTTGCGTGTAGTTACCGGTGACATTACACTTGCCTTTCCTCACCGAACAAAGGATGATCGATGCTGTGCCACCCTGCCTGCAGCTCACTCAACACACTGACACAGTAGGTTAGTAATGATGCAGGGTGAAGTGACTGATAGCAAAGTGTGTGCGCTGTTAATGGAAAGTGACAGTCTCGTTTTCTTATGGTTTTCATGGCACATAGCAGAGGTTCCAGGGAAGATGGCTACAGTCCATTTTTAGGATCATGACAATGTCATACCCTTTCATTAAAATAAATGAATCTAAGTCTGTGTATTCATAATCATTTTGATATCATTAGCTTTTTATGTTCAGTCTTGAGACCTGACTGTTGATTTTTGGACAAGGAATTGCAGCAATTATTAGTGTGAGGCCAAGTCGCTTACAAAAGAATGTAATTATCACCTTTTATCACCTGTACTCAAAGTCTTTTGTTATTTAAACTGTGAAAGCACTTCATATTTTCTTCCTTTTTATATAGGTGTCATTCTTACATGAGGACTGCAGTCAACCTGATATCTAAGACAAAGATAAATCTAGATGTTTAATAATTATAATGTTCAACATCTGGATTTAAAGTGTGGAGGATCGCAAGAGCAGTCGTTGGTCCTGACAGTTTGTCTCCACCACGTGCATTTTTTCTGCACGTTTTTCAGTCATCTGTCTCACAGGACTGACAGAACACATACTCTCTTATCTTCACCAACTCACCTGTCTACACAAGCACAGCTTCTGTTGTATTTTATCAAGTCTATTTTGCCTTTTGTAATGTACAAACATTCACTGGCCACTTTGTTAGGTACAGTGGTTCAACTGCTTGTTAACACAAATATAATCAGCTGTCACATGGACGCTAGTTAATATAGATATGAAGTTCAACCTTAGCATTAGAATGGGATGATTTAAAGTACTTTGAATGTCGCATGATTGTTGCTGATATAAGGGTTGGTTTGATTGTGTCAGAAACTGCTTGGATTATCCTACACAACTGTCTCTACAGTTTTCAGAGAACAGCCCAAAAAAGCCTGGGCTAAAATGTCGTATTGATGCCAAAAGTCAAAGGAGTATGGCCAGATTGCCAAGGGCAACGGTAACTCTAATAACCGCTCTTTATGACAGAGCTATGCAGAAGAGCATCTCTAAACACATTACCTGTCAAGCCTTGAAGCGTATAGGCCAGGGGTAGGGAACCCGAGAGCCAGTGTCCTGCAGGTTTTAGATGTGTCCTTAATCCAACACAGCTGGTCTAAATGGCTAAATTACCTCTTCAACATGTCTTGAAGTCTCCAGAGGCCTGGTGATGAACTAATCATTTGATTCAGACGTGTTGATCAAGGGTGAGATCTAAAACCTGCAGGACACCGGCTCTAGAGGCCTGGAGTTCCCTACCCCTGGTATAGGCAGTAGCAGAAGACCACACTAGATGCCACTCCTGTCAGCTAAGAAGAGGAATGCAAGGAATCTTCTTAGCTGACATTTCACACAAGCTAACCAGAAGTGGACAGGAAAAGACTGGAAAAATGTTGCTTGGTCTGATGAAAAAAATTTGATGGGTCAGAATTTTGCATAATAATGACTTGGGGGATATTTTTTTGTACACTCTGGGCCTCTTTATACCAACTGAACATCATTTAAATAGTACAGCCTACCCGAGTATTGTTGATGATCATGTTTTTTATGACCATATTGCATCTATACTCAGATGGCTGCTTACAGCAGAAATATGCATCATTTCAGAAATAGAGCACCTTTGGGATGTGGTGGAATGGAAGATAAACGCACAGCCAAAAAATCTGCACCAACTGTGTGACTCTATCATGTTAATTTGGACCAAAACTCTGAGGAATTTTTCCAGCACTTTGTTGAATCTCTGCCATGAAGAATTAATGCACTCCAAAGGCAAACGGGGGACCAACCTTGTACTGGCAAAGCGTAACTAATAAATGAGGCCAGTGAATGTAATACTACTTGTTTAGTGGGATCTGAGGACTTCCAAAATGTCAGGTAATATACGACTCAGTAGTGGGCCTGAATGAATCTTGTGTAGACACAGATTGACCATAAAGTGACTGCAATGACTCACACAGACCATCCATTACTCGCAGTCCTGATATCCTTGCTACACCAAAGAGCCCCTACGAATTTGAAGTCAGCAAACTAGCCAATGAGTCATCATAGTGTTTAGGATTTCTGCTCTGGGGACCCATGAATGTTAGTAAAACATTTCATAGTAACGCACTCATCCATTTTCTTTTGCTTACCAACCCCTGGACAGGTTCTCAGTCTGTCGCAGGGCTAACAAAGAGACAGACAAACATGTTCTCATCACTTAGATTCACCATTTAACCTAACCTGACTAACTGCATGTCTTTGGACTGTGGGAGGAAGCCGGAGTACCCGTGCAGACACAGGAGAACATAAAAAACTCCACACAGAAAGGCCTCAGCCTGAACCCGCAACCTTCTTGCCTTGAAGCAACAGTGCTAACCACTGTTCCACCCAGGAGCGTAATTTCCAGGGGGGTTAGAGGGGTTATGACCCCCCAATAATGTGGCTCAAGAGTTGGGAGTTCGCCTTGTAATTTGAAGGTTGCCGGTTCGAGCCCCGGCTTGGACAGTCTTGGTCGTTGTGTCCTTGGGCAAGACATTTCACCCGTTGCCTACTGGTGGTGGTCAGAGGGCCCAGTGGCGCCAGTGTCCAGCAGCCTCGCCTCTGTCAGTGCGCCCCAGGGTGGCTGTGGCTACAATGTAGCTGCCATCACCAGTGTGTGAATGTGTGTGTGAATGGGTGGATGACTGGATATAAAAGCGCTTTGGGGTCCTTATAGGGACTAGTAAAGCGCTATATAAATACAGGCCATTTACCATAATCAGACGCAACCAATATAACCCCCCCACCACCACCAATAAAATTATGAATTATCTTGCATAAATAGGCTGATTTTCTTTACTCATTTCAGGTATTACCAGCAATATAGTAGCATATTTAATCATCTGGGAATTTACCCAGATTTATTTATTTATTTAGACAGAGATCTTGCTGTCTTGCCCCCCCCCCCCTCCCCCCAATGTTCAGCACAAAGCTACGCTGATGGTTCCACCCCATCAAACATTTATTGTACATATAATTGAACTTCCTTCAACTCTATCAGGCACTAATTCCTCACACATGTAGTTTCTATTTTTTAGAAACAGGATCAGCTTAGTTCTCCTTCATTTATAGCAACAGTATCACTCCTACATACACACATTAATTGACTTCTATAGTATAAGAGCAGTAGAATAAATGCATTTCATGAATCTGTGATTTCTCTCTTTGTTTCAGATGCATGTTTTCAGAGGGCTGGGATGGACAGTTTGATCCATGGTGCTGGTGACACTTCAGTCTTGGTGAGATGTCCTTGAGTGGCAACACAACCCAGTCTTCTTTGTCAGCGTCACCTTTTCCTTTGATCTTCAACAGCTCCACCCCTCCACAATCCTCAGCTTGGGAGAAAGAGCGAGCCAGCCATGGGTCTGTACAGGACTGGCCAGGGAATGAGACCCAGCTCCTCTCAGACTTCGCCATTCTGGAGCATGATGAGCAGTGCCACATGTCTCCTGTTCTGACAGCATGCCTTGTAGCCTGGTACAGTGTTACAATGGTGCTAGGGTTGGTGGGCAACATTGGCCTCATTTGCATCATTGCCCGCCGCAGAGAAAAGGTCAATGTCACCAGCATTTTCATCTGCAACCTGTCATTCTCTGACATTCTGGTATGTGTCTTCTGCCTCCCTTTCACTGTCATATACACAATCATGGACCACTGGGTGTTTGGCTCGCTGTTATGTCGCCTGGTGCCGTTCATCCAGTGTGTCTCTGTGAGTGTGTCAGTGCTGTCTCTAGTGTTTATCGCCTTAGAAAGGCACCAGCTTATCATTAACCCCTCTGGATGGAAACCAAGTGTTCCTCAGGCCTACATGGCAATTGTTCTCATTTGGATACTGGCCTGCTTCACATCTTTGCCTTTCTTAGCCTTTCAGCTGCTCACAAATGAGCCCTATACCAATGTAATCCTGCCCGTGTCATCGGTACATGACCAAGATTTTCCTCATGCTTATCTCAACACATCTCCTACTCATACATACTGTGACCAGGAGATATTTTATTTTGTATTCTTATGATCACAGTTATAATCAGAAGTATCAATCATTAATCATTTACCATTGTTGAACCAGTTGACAGAATAATCTTTGGACCATATCTATGTTAACATTAATCTACACAGATTATCAGTACTCTAATCAGTCTATTGTTGTTCTGTACTATTCATGTTATTTGCTTAAAGCTGTTTCACAGTTCTGTAATCACTCGGAAGCCTGTGGGGCCTGCTGGACCCTGCCTTGGTTCTATGTTCAGTTCTGCACGTACACAGCCCTTGAAAGTACATGCACGCTCTTATACAACACATGAATGTGTACACACACCCTTAGTAAGAATAGGAGGGTTGTCTGAGGACAGTTTTCTGATAGATATACTTTCACAATAGACACGAATAGATATACACACAACACACACTGGTTTCTCTGAGTGCTGGGCTGAGTGGAAACATCTGGAGGCCTTATAAGGAGAACTTGTGGAGTGAGGGGAACTTCCTGAGTTCTGAGAACTGACTGATACTTATCATGGGACTTGACGTCATCATTGTAATAAAAGCCTTGTGAGATGCTTGTTCGAGGGAGATCGGCTCTAAAAGGCTTGTGATGCTCATCTTCCCCATATGTACATATGTATAATAAAAATCACTATTCTGACATCTACTGAGACCATGCAGTCGTTTGTCTTTTCCTCAAATTCGAACCCTGACAATCTGGTGCCGAAACACCGGTTTGAGGAGGGATATTTTAAGGAGCCTGGCTGACGGTCTAGTGGTGTCAGACGGACGGCCAGGGCTACACTGAGTGATGGGCCCCGAAATATGAGAGGTAAGCACCGCCTGTTGATGGATCTCCAAAGGTGCCGAATTGGAAATTGAGCGCTAAATTAAAGGTTCACTCAGTGGGGCTTCTGTTCTGTCCGGGGTGATTTTGGGGTAATTAGTGTTAAAGGCAGGGAATAGTGAACTGAGTAAATTTATTGCTGTTTATTTTGGGGGTGAATTTTGAGTTAAGAAGTTATGTGTTTGAGTTAACACGGTTTAAGGTGTGTGGAAACAGATAAATACGGTTTAAGAGGTTAAATGTGGGTTGACTGGGAATGCCAGCCAGTCAATCGGTAGTGTAGGGTTAATTTGGTTTTGATTGAGTAGCAAAAACGCGGTTTTGGGTCTCAGGTAATTAAACTGGAGGGCAGGGTACCCACAGTGAGGCTTTTAAAATAAGTAAATTTAATTTAGGACTGGGGCGCGGCCCCTAGGAATGCAGTTGTTCAGCGTTTTGGCAGACGCCACATGCAACGGACGCGTTGTTATGGTTAAGCTCGGTTTTGGCCTCCCGCTGGGGACTTGGGACTCCCGGTTAATTGGCCAGGTAATCTATGAGTGATTGCCTTCTACTGCATTAATTGGCAGGTAGAGTCGCGGACCGGCTGCATCCTATTTAAACGTCAGGAGCTTGTGAACTTTAAGTATAGCCAAAAGCGTGAGCCAGGATTTCATTGCCTTTCACGCAGCTGGTGGAGTTCCGGGTGTCCGGGCGGGGAAGCAGTTTTAAAGTACTAGAACTTAGTAATTTGACCGTTTGTCAAGGCGGCGTACTTGAAACGGTAATTGATCAGCAAGAGCGAGGCTCTGGGCTGAAAGATGCTTTTAAATTAGTCAAAAAATTTAGCAACACCAGCAGAGAAATAGAGAACTGAGATAAAGTTGTTCTGGCATATGGTGTTTTTTAGGAATTTGAGCGCTATCGGGAGGGCGTTCCCGAGGTGTGTATTGACCAGCAAGGCGAGGCCTGGGCTATAGGGCTTTTAAATTAGTCAAAAAAGTTAGGTGTAACCTCTTCTGGTATGACGTCTATGCGGGCCCGTGTGTATATAGATTATAAGTTACCGGTGTGTGTAAATAAGTTGTATAAATCTGTTAGATCTGAAACTCCTGCTAAAAAACTTCCTCTCTACAACTCTTTTCTCTTCTCTCCCTCTTTCTCTCAGTTGAGATTCTGTGTGTGTATGTGTGCTGGAGAAATAAAAAAAAAAGGAAAAGGGTCTCTCTCTCTGTCTCTGTGAGGGAAAAAAGGTGGGGGCCGAGTGAGCCCGCGGGCCGAGCGGGTCCGCGGGAGCGAGCGTGTATGCTGTATGAGGAAGAAGGGAGTGAGAGGGCGCGAGTGAAAAGAGTAACCGAGTATTTGGTGATTTTTATTATTTCAGAGGCTCTGGGTAAGAGTTTTGACTTTAGCTGTGAGAGTTGTGAAAAGAGCAGGTTTTTCTTTTGTTGTAGACTGTGAGTAATCGGTGTTTTTCTGCCTATTGTGCTGCGTGGAAGACACAGAAGTGTAGAAATGTTTGTGGTTTATCTTTGTTTGACGTTTTATATAGAGTTGGTTGAATTAGGGTGATTTCTCCCGTTTAAGGGAGGAGTTGCATTGTGGTTATGTTAAAGCTTTGCTGTAGGGTATGTGTGTGATTTTGTGCTGGCTTCGCATGATTAAATGGATGCACAGAAGTTTGTGAGTGAGAAATTGTTATGGTGGGGTTTAAAGTTAGTAAAGAGTCAAACAACGCCCACTGTTTTAAAAAGGCCCAAAACGTCATGAAAGACACCTCACATCCTGGCCACTCCCTGTTCGAACTGTTGCCCTAAGGCAGACGGTACAGGGCAAGCAGAGTAAGGACTAATAGACTCAAACACAGCTGTTATCCAACTGCAATAACACATCTGAATACTACAAAAATGTCCACCATGCCACTCTTGTGTTAATCTATGCACGGTCTGGGGCATGACTGTGGGAATACTTAGTATGTTAAGTATTCTATCTATTTTATTTATTGAATTTTATTGTTTTGTTTATTTTTTTGATATTGCTAGGGAGGATGCAATGATCGGGGACCATTCTTAATTTCGTTGGTCTCATGACAATGACAATAAAGTTTTTGATTTTGATTCTGATTCTGAAATCCACCCTCCTCAAGAGTTCAATGATTTAGGCAGTTATGTTTATACAAATACTAAATGTATGTTTAGTGTCTTCATACAGGTGTTTTTTCTTAACCTGGAAACCTGAGTACGGCAGCAGAGGACAGGCCAAGCTTTGGCTAAAATTCACGGCTGGACACCAGAGTTGTCCTCACCCTCCCGGAAAACAAAACAGAGAGAATGTAGTTTGAGGCAGGTTTTTCTCGCTGAACTGCTCTGGGTGCTGTGTCCCTGAATCTCACCAGTGTTAACCTCTGGCGGAAGACATGGAGAAAAGGAAAAGATGTTCCTGGTAAATCACTGAAACAAATAAAACCACACGCAACCAGAGAAAGGTATGAGAAGTGTGTGGAACAGACACATGTGCGTGTTAGAGAAATGCCTCGTTTGAGAAAAAGTTAAATTAACCCATATACAGACGCACCCATACATGCAATGAAGAAACAGCTTACATACATGTGCACGTACATGCAAGGTTAAAGTAGCGACACTTAACATACACCTGTTTTTAAATGATATAGTTATCCACTACTGACAAATGAACCCTTTGGGTTGCAGGACAACAACGTAACGTCAAAAGACAAAGACACTGGTCTGATGATTAAGTGAGGACACGACAAATTTAGTGGTTAAAAGGGTCGACTTGGGACATGTTTTTGTTGATTGTTTAAGACAAATGACTACTGAATGATAGGAAATTCCTTTTTTAGGTTTCTAAACAGGATCTTAAGAATTTTAACACGTACCTGTGTTGTCCTGTCAACTTGAGGGGTTATGAGTTGATTATATGGTGAAAAAAAAAAACAAAAAAGGGGGGAGACGAGATCTCAGCCAACACAGCACAGCCAACACAACATCATTTTCCTGTTCGCCTGTTTTGTTTTGTTTTTGTTTTTTCTGAAAGCCGAAGCTGACCTGGACTCCTACCCTCCCCTCTACCATCGTTGCCCTCTCCGCGACCATCTTTGACCCTTTGACCCTGAAGGCCACAGCAGCTGGACTCACAACAACAACTTGAGGATGTCAACAGTGCTGCAAAGAGCGATCTCATGCAGCAGAGACGGAGAGCACTAAACCTAACGCCGTTTCACTACACGGGGGAAATTCCCAGGCTGCGTCAGCTGACAGAGCTGTGACGAGACGCGCATTAAGCCCGGAGGAAAAGGGAGGGTGAGCAGAAGAATGCTGACCTCTGAGAAGAGCCGAACAGCAGAGCTGCAGAAGGCCGTGGAGCAAGTAAGGACAACATAAACAGACTCCAATCTGACGTGGAAGGAAAGACTCTGAGGTTTTTTGCCCTCAGTAAGAGCTTAAGGCATCAGAGCAGAAACTGAGCATGGCTCCGGAGGAGCTGGCTGCTAATTGAACTCATCAGTCAGATTTGGAGTTTCACGTACAGGACTTGTAATCAGGCGGAAGCTTGCTGGAGCAGGAGGTCGTCAGACTTGACGCAAAGCTCCAACAACAGGAGTAAACCCTGAAAGACCATACAGAAGCAAAAGGGTCAAGGTACAAGGAGAAGATGCAGGCAGCTGCAACAACGGATGAAAACAGACCCTAAGAGGAGGGGAGGACCCTAGGCCATCCTTCAGGCCGCTGGTTTACCTTAACTACAGAACAGGAAGGTGATGAACACAAACATACACCAACACGCGAACACACACTTCTGCATGCGCCGACTTAGAATGAAGAGAAACACACACATGAACACTTATGCACTCGTTGAGGGAGTGAAAACTGATACATACCCAGGCACTAAAATCAAAATGTTGATTTAATTTACTAAGAAGTGACACACAATGCCCCAGCTGCTGCAATGAAGAATGCTTTACTGACAAAGGCTCAATGCTGCACACGACAACGTCAAATACAGAATTTGCTATAATAATAAGCCCAGAGGGCATTTGTGTGGTCTGGGGAGCAGAGTCCGGAGCGGTTTGGTTATGAAAATGATGCCTGTGCGAGATATCTGGGCTTAAGGCCTCGACTTAATTGTTTACTGTACACTAAAAAGAAAAGAAAACACTCTGAGCAGTGGTGCAGAGTGAAAACGAGGAATTAACAGTGTGAGTTTTATTTCAGAGCGCCACGTCATTGTGATGGAGATTTAATAAAGGAGGAACACACGGACAAAGAAGAAGAGAAGGGGGGCAGCCCTTGAGCACGATTGCCTGAGGCATTAAAGTTCTGTACTAAATTCGGGTTTCCAGTGGGAGAAAAGTCACGCAGTGCCAGTAGTAGAGCTAGGTTGAGTGATGATTCTAAATTACTGTAAGTAAATCATCGTACACCGTTCAAGTTTCATGATAACGGGGATCTAGACTTTGTTGAACTCTAGGCAATTTGAACAGGTAAAATTCGAGTGACCAAGTAGCAGTTGAATAAAAGTCATTGAATAACTGTTGAAATAAACTGGCAGAATTAAGAGAATTAAAACATTTCAAGAGCTCAAATTACTTAATGGTTCAATTTTGTTTCACGAACGCAAAACATATAGGTTTATGAATATGAAAAGGTTGAGGTGGTGTTGATTTGACTCTGTGTAGGTTTAGGTTGGTATTTTATTGATGGGAAGAATATTCAGTGACAAGTCCTAAGACCCGGCGTCTGCATTTGTTTTTGTTATTTTTCATTTTATTTTGTTTATATTTGAACAGTGCACTGATTTTGTTTGTGAATCTTTTCTTTAAGCAGATCTGCACATCGGAAATTACAAGCATTACACGTCGGCGAGAAAATTGTTGTAAGTGAGTTTCTCCGCATTGAAATGGGTTCTGGAGGAAACACTTGTGGGGACAATTAGAAACGAGAGTCCCTGTTTAAAAAAGGATTCAGCGAGGTAATCCAAATTCAAGTTCTTGTTTTCTTTTGAGATGACGTCATTTTGCTGAGTGTGGAAACTAAATGCGACGACAGGTTTCACTATCAGCAAAGAACGGATGAATGGATGAAAGACTGGGAATAAAAACAAACGGACTGACTGGTAAAAGATGACAAGACTTGACCATGACTCAAGGTTAACCACCTCCACCTAGATAGGATAAAAGGGTGGATGAATTTATGTGTGTTTCTTTTTACAGGAGTAGAAGGATGACAAAATATTCGAGGATGAGTGAACCTGTAAATGCCATTTTTGTGTCTTGTGTTGCTTACAGAGGTAACTGCGCAGCGTTACCATTTACATTTTCTTCCCTACAGGGTTACAGTTTTAATGTTTTTCTATTACAGGATTTCTGGGCGGATGTGTGAAGACACGGTGTTTATGGGTTAGGAGTTGGTGATGCTATTACACTGTATTCTGGTGAGAGTGTTGGGGGAGACACACCCTGTCTTGAAAACTGTGATTCTTTACAGGAAATGTTTATAGCACCTATGGGATGTGGATGCCTGACTACGGTCAATGTGCTGCTAATGTTTGCTTTGCTTTGGTGAGAGGGGTGCAGTAGAAAACAGACAAGTGACATGAAACAAGTAATAATAACAAATAACAAATTTGGGGACAGTTTAACCTAGAGCCCACTAACTGGCCATTAGGGGCTCTCTCTCTCTTGGAATAACATTGCCCAAAGGGTGAATAAAGCAAATTGTGGCAATAATAGTGGTTTAATGATTGGGGAAACCTGAACATGATACTTGTCTGTTGTGCTGAACCGTTTATTACTCTTATGATTTGCAGGTGGTTGTAAATAAGCTGTTTACTTTAACAGGTTTGCTTTTTAGCTGAATTGCAAAATACAACTAGAACGATTGATTGAGACTAATCGCTACTAACCTGAAACTGAGGAGGTTCTATATAAGGAGGAATTAAAACAGGTATAAAATGCATCTGATCTTTAATTGCAGGTGGGACCATGAAGATTTTTTGGTACAGATTGTAGGTTGTTGCTCATTATTGAAGTGTGCTCATAAAGGCCAAAAGCTATATAGGGGGTCTATCATTTGGTCTGTGTTTTAATAATTTAGGTATGGCAAAATTAAAGGTTTCTAGACAATTTAGGGAACGAGTGAGAAGCATAATTAGATGATCAGAAACTGAGTATTACACTCAAGTTAGAATTAAGAATGCCCAATTTGTTTGAGGTCTGTTGTTCATTTTTATACACACCTTGCAAATGTGCTTATAAGGAGCTGGCACTTAGTCTGTGAAGGTCAAAAGCTTCATCCGACAACGGATCGGATTGATATATTGGTGCTATTGACTTCGCGTGCAGAGGGTTAAATGCATGCACGCTTACACACATAAGCATGGCATAGGATTGGAATAAACAAAGTCAACAACATTAGGTTAGGAGAGCCAGCGCAGGAGAGGTGTTGGCTTTCTGTCTCTTGCAGAGAAGGGAACAAACACCAGACGGGGACACGGAGATATGGGGACCCTTCACAGCAACTGGGGTCAAGTGTCATGGCCTTGGGGCTCCTTGATAAGATGGATCCCATAACCACAGCGATAACCAGGAAGGGGTTGGCTAAAACTAGGAACACCAGAGACCAACGTGGTTCGAGAGGCTTTTGGCAAAAAGGGGACACGGCGGTGACAACGGACAACAAACACACAGATTTGTGTAGCGACTGAAGGGTGGTATAACCCCGGAAGTCGAAGAAAGAAGAATCCGAGGGCGTTTCTTCACTCCAAGAGGAGGTGGTAAAGGGGCCTGAAGCGTGTCAGGCTGAAACTCGAGTCCGAAGCTAAAAGAACAGCTGGGTTGTGGGAAAATTGGAAAACAACGGAGGCGTTGGGGTTGATAAGGGTCATAACGTGTTTGTTTGGTTTGGAAATAAATCCTGGTGTGAGTTGGGCTGGCAAGCCAGCCCAAAGAGGAGGAATGTGACCAGGAGATATTTTATTTTGTATTCTTATGATCACAGTTATAATCAGAAGTATCAATCATTAATCATTTACCATTGTTGAACCAGTTGACAGAATAATCTTTGGACCATATCTATGTTAACATTAATCTACACAGATTATCAGTACTCTAATCAGTCTATTGTTGTTCTGTACTATTCATGTTATTTGCTTAAAGCTGTTTCACAGTTCTGTAATCACTCGGAAGCCTGTGGGGCCTGCTGGACCCTGCCTTGGTTCTATGTTCAGTTCTGCACGTACACAGCCCTTGAAAGTACATGCACGCTCTTATACAACACATGAATGTGTACACACACCCTTAGTAAGAATAGGAGGGTTGTCTGAGGACAGTTTTCTGATAGATATACTTTCACAATAGACACGAATAGATATACACACAACACACACTGGTTTTCTCTGAGTGCTGGGCTGAGTGGAAACATCTGGAGGCCTTATAAGGAGAACTTGTGGAGTGAGGGGAACTTCCTGAGTTCTGAGAACTGACTGATACTTATCATGGGACTTGACGTCATCATTGTAATAAAAGCCTTGTGAGATGCTTGTTCGAGGGAGATCGGCTCTAAAAGGCTTGTGATGCTCATCTTCCCCATATGTACATATGTATAATAAAAATCACTATTCTGACATCTACTGAGACCATGCAGTCGTTTGTCTTTTCCTCAAATTCGAACCCTGACAATACAAAAACCTGTCTGCGCTTCAAAATTCATACCGTTCCCTCTTTTCTTACGTCCCCACCTCTTCACATATGGAAGCCTGTGTGGAACACTGGCCATCCCAGGGTCACAGGGTCGCTTACACCACATGGCTTCTGCTGTTCCAGTACTGTGGGCCACTGTTTTTGGTCCTGCTCTGTTATGTTAGAGTTATTGTGCGGCTCCGTCACCGCAAAGAAATGTTGGACCGCGCCCGGACCCCCGAGTGCCAGCGCATGACCCACAGCCGCCGGATCAACATCATGCTGGTTGCTCTCATAACAGTCTTTGCCCTTTGCTGGCTTCCGCTCACCATCTTCAACGTGGTGTCAGACTGGAACCAGGAGGCTCTGCCCGTCTGTTACCACAACCTGCTGTTCTCCCTCTGCCACCTGCTGGCCATGTCCTCCACCTGCATTAACCCCGTCATCTACGGATTCCTGAACTCCAACTTTAGGCAAGAGGTGAGCGAGGTGCTCCTACACTGCCGCTGTTTCCCACTAGAGGAAGAGTGTGAGCAATATCCCATGTCCACTGTGCACATTGAAGTGTCCCATACCTCTGTGCCTCTAACCTGCAGGAGCAACTCTGTGTGACACTGATGCTTCAGCCTAAAGGATCCTTCTTACGTAAACTGTACAGTTGTAAGACAAACTGTTGCTGTTTGTTCTTACTTTAATGTCAATAGATCCATTTAAAAAGCAGCTTAAAGCTATTTATTGTAAATTTATATGTTTAAAAAAAAAGTTCACCACAAGTTTATGTAAAAAAAAAATCTATGTTTTGTGTTAAATAAATATTAACTGAACTTAAACTAGGACGAAACTGTACTTTTGTATGATACCAGTATGTAACATAACATGGTGCAATCAGTCAGCCCAGCAAGTCATTGAAGCCTTGTTTCCACAACTTTGGCTCAACTCAACTTTGCTATACTCAGTTTCTCATTTCCACCTCAATGTGCATGGGGTCGTTATAACAACGTCATTGTTATCTGACAAAGACAACAACGATGGAGGACATCGAAAGAGTGGTATAAGTCTATAAGTCTATGGGTTTTTCTCAGACTTGGAAACCACGGTGTTGGTTTTTGTTGCTGGGTTTCACCTTTCCATTTGCACCTAATGACAAACCCTAAAAACAAGGTCGAGTCCAGTCAAACAGGTACTTGTAGAAAACAGGCATTAGTCATTGACGCATTACTATGAAACAGATTCCCAAAGTGTGGGCTGGAGCCACAATAGGCTGCGAGTGTACTACAGGTACAGAAATTCCATAAAATGGATTTATTTATTTAAAAAGTGAATAAAAATGATAAGATGCGGTTAGTTTGTTATATTACTTATTAATCCAACCTATATTTGCTTCTCTTGTATTGAAGTTTATATCCCAGTAGCAGGTGGGTCCCATATTGACCATAGTATTTTACGTATGACTTGGTAACTTTAGCAATTTCTAGCCAAAAGCCTGTTTATGTTTTTTGAATAACATTTTCAAGGAAATACATCTCTTTTTATTGTATTTTAATTGAAGTGAAATTTTAAAATGGGTGTGCCCCATGGGATCTTCTAGTTTTTAATTGGGCTGAAGCACTCTTGACTTTGGGAATCGCTGCTATAAACAATGGTGGTGCGGAAAAAGCAAAACTTTTTGAGGAATTTAAAGTAAGGGTTAAAAGAAATATCACGTCAAAAGAAATGCACAACACCTAAGAAAAAATCTCAACACACCCACTGGTAAAATGCTGCCTGCAGTGGTGAAAATTGTAGTCAACATTTGCATAACAAAAAATACCTTTAAAGTGCAACGTTTTGTCAGTGGTTTAAAGTGAAGTGTTTCATACCGTGTCTTACTATGAGCAAACTGCAACTATAAAGACACTGAAAAAGGAGGTGCATTTAATCTTAACTGTTGCTTTTTCAGAATTTCATGCTTCATGCCATATACTATCTTACTGTATCCTGTTATTATGACATAAATCCAGCGGGTGTTAGCTTAACTGTGACTTATAGAATTACTGCCAGTTAAACATTTTAACACTTTAAATTTATGCTGGAATCATAGAACAAATCCATATTGCAGTATTATCAACACCTACAGTGGTGACCAGAGATAAAGGGAAAACAGAATGAAAGAGTGGAGGACCATAGTAAATGCTGATATATTTATAAGGCATGAGTGGTCATTTGACAGGTATTGCAATGTTTTAGAAGGACCAGTGTGGTTGGGGTTGTTCAGTTCAGGTGTCTCAATGAGTCATCAGACACCAAGAATAGTCATTATTCGTTTTATTTTTTGCACCTGTTTTCTGTGACATGTCAAAACCTTTGCTGAATCATATTACTTGTTTATTAAGTATAAAACATGTGTGACCATACTGTGGCCTTCAGACTCACCGGACCTCAAACCAACAAAATGCCTAAAGTAAACTTTGAAGTGATGTGTTACACGGTGGGACGGAATGCCTCTCATAAGGATTCTACTCATCCTTCCATACACTTTCAGAGACTGTGAACTGTTCAGAGACTGTTTGTAACAGAGATTGTTTCAGAGACTGTGCTACCAGTTGTGGTGGTAGCACAGGCCCTAAATATAAATGTTCATTTCATTTATCGTGGAACTGCACGGTGTGCCATTTTGAGACATATTAGACGCTTATGAAACAAACTGTTTTATGAGAGACCCCCTGCCGTTGTATTTCACGTATTTCAGTACAATTCAGTCTTTTATATTCATAGTATCAACCCTGTGAAATTTCTGTCTTAGCTTTCATGGTGAATAAAACACAAGGAGGGTTTTGTTCTGTGATTGAAGTGACAAATAAAACTGAAACTTACTAACTTATATACATTGTTAAATTGCAGGCCTTAATTTATTTTTGATGGGTTCAGTAAATATTGAAATGCTTGGACATCAAATGTGCATGGGCATGATTTAAACTACATCAAAATGTGTTAAATAACTTGTTTCGTTGAGGCAGTATGTTTATGTTGTTGCAGTAAGTGCTAAGTTTTGCCTGCATGTGGATTACTTAAACGTGTCTTATCTAGAGACTTACTTATGTGTGAATTTAATAAATTTATATTCCTTGAAAGCGTCACAACTAATATCTCAAATAAATGTCTGTTTTAACTTCGACTACATTGCCAAAAGTATTAACTCGCCCCTTGTGATGATTGGTTTCAGGTGATCCAAACACTTCCGTGGCCACAGGTGTATAAATTCAAGCACCTTGGCATGCAGACTGCTTCTACAAACATTTGTGAAAGAATGGGTCACTCTCAAGAGCTCACTGAAACTCAGCATGGTACTGTGATAGGATCCCACCAGTGCAGCAAGTCCAGCTACTAAATATTCCACAGTCAGCTGTTAGTGGTATTATAACAAAGTGTAAGGGATTGGGAATGACAGCAACTCAAAATGGTAGGCCACAGAGCTGAGTCAACGGACACTAAGGCACATAGTGCACAAACGTCGCCAACTTTCTGCAGAGTCAGTCCCTACAGGCCTCTAAACTTCATGTGGCCTTACGATTAGCTCAAAAACATTGTGTAGAGGGCTTCATGGAATGGGTTTTCATAGCTGAGCAGCTGCATCCAAGCCTTACATAACCAAGTGCAATGCAAAGTGTCAGTGTAAAACATGCCACTGGACTCTAGAGCAGTGGAGATGTGTTTTCTGGAGTGACAAATCACGCTTCTCCATCTGCCAATCGGATGGTGGAGTCTAGGTTTGGCAGTTGCCATGAGAACAGTACTTGTTTGCATTGTGTCATGTGTAAAATCTGGTTGAGGGGGGGTGTATGGTGTAAAGTTGTTTTTTGGGAGTTGGGATCGGCCCCTTAGTTAAAGGAACTCTAAACGGTTCAGCATACCAAGACTTTTTGGACAATTTCATTCTCATACCTTTGTGGGAACAAACTGGTTCAACCTGGCTGCACACCAGTGCACAAAGCGAAGGATTAGCGAGTTTGGTGTGGAAGAACTTGACTGGCCTGTCCTGACCACAACCCAGCAAAGCACATTTGAGATGAATTAGTGCAGAGGCTGCAAACCAGCACTTCTTGTCCAACATCATTGTCTGACCTCACAGAGGCACTTCTGGAGTCTGCAGATTTCTGAATGTTCAGAAATCCCAATAAATACACTCCTAAACCTTAGGGAAAGCCTTCCCAGAAGAGTTGACGGTATTATAGCTGCAATCATATTAAACCCTATGGATTAAGAGGAGGATGTCACTAAAATTCATAAGCATGTCAATGCAGATAAGCCAACATAGTGTAGATCATGTGTCATGAATTTATATGTAATTCACCTGCAAGCTGCTTTTTAAAACAATCTTTCTATTATTTATTGTCTTTATTTATCTTCCTTGTTAGTTTTCAATTTTGTGATTAAATATATTAATTGTTAAAAAGATTTTTTTGTTTCTTTTATTTCATCAAACTTATTTATTTTTGCATTATACTTACGAGTGTACATAAACAACCAACACAATAAACAAAAAAGCAGTAACTTACAAAATCTGATGGCTACCTTTTCTTTGCGCATATCAAGTAAAATTAACTGATTGTTGAATTAATTAATTAATTTTTTTAATTAGGCAGGCTAAATTGTGAGTTTTCTTCATGGAGCAAAACAGCAAGTGGCACAAACTCATACTTTGTATCATAACGGTACCGCATAACACTCGTCTTCTTTGGATTAGCAGTATATTTTCAGCGTTTGCAGAGCTTAACCGAATAAAAACTGTGATTAAAGGACACACGCGGTTTAGTAAACCCTTTGTAGGGGCCCTACCACATTCCTTTCTAGACCGGAAGTGTCGTATGTCACACATTAACCAATCATAGCTGTTTGTCCCAGAATGCATCATTTCCACAAACTGCACGCGCGAACAATACAAGCAGGAGTGAGTTGTTGGTCGAAACTGTGCGATTTAAAAGTGACTGCCACACAAAGTAAGTCAACGGCAACCTCTGGAAGTGCGTGTTTATATCTTCTTTCACGTCTTCGGACTCCTAAATGTCACAATAAGTGAAATGCGTGTGCCAGCGGAAGTATGAACCATAGACGGCCACCATGGTTAGCTTCGCGAGTTTAGCATCAAAATGCAGCCTAACGGTTTTGTTAACATTATTGGCATTCATTCATGCTCTTTGATAAGTGTTAAATTTAACGACTCTGCCCTATATATTTTACGTTACACAGTAACTAATGTTATATCCATATTTTTGATAACCTGCCTTGAGTCAATTTCACTAATAGGTGGTTTAGTTAGCTAACAGTAAAATTGAGCGTTTTAATAATTTGATTTAAAGTACGAGTTAGTACAAAGCTTAGAAGTCGTCATATATTTTGTATGTACCTCGCATAGAGAGTATATTCATAATTTGCAGTGCTGTGGTATTCGCTACAAGTTTAAGCATGTACCCCCAGCAAGCGTCTGTGCCTTGAGTAATTTATCAAGAAGTGCTTGGGGTAATTGAATAATTGATTTGACACAACATTACTACGCAGCTCGCTTGTTATTCTCAGTTCAGAACAAAGTTGTCAGGATCTGATACCCCAACTTCAGACAAAACTGAGATTGTTATTTTTGACCGTAAAAATCTGATAAACATGGTGTCTAACCAGATATGTTGGCCTCCAGAGACATTGTGAGGAACCTAGGAGTCATTTTTGATTTGGTGTGCTCATAAAACAAATGTGTTGGACGGGTTCCTTTTATCTGGGCAGTGTCTCTAAAATGAGAAACCTCCTGTTGCAGTACACCATTGTACTTTTAAGGTTGGGCTAAAAAAACCCATCCTTTTTAATTAAGCTTATAGCTATGACTGGATCAGGTAACCCTGAACCATCCCTTACTTATGCTGCTCAGACTGCCGCAGTACTATTAATGCTATTTATATAGTTAAATAATCAGTTACATTAACGTATTCCTGATTTGTGGCTTTGATTTCAACACTTGACACACTTGAATGATGTCTGTCATTGATACATTTCTGATGTAGTATGGACCAGGATGGACAATTTCCTTGTTTCCTTGTGTCACAGTAAGAATTTCTTTGGACTGATGAAGCTAAACTTTAATTTCAAAAAATGTCGGGGGTTTTTTTTTTTTGAGTCCAATAAGTTAGTCAAGTGACTCGGTATTGTAAATAATATAAATCAGCCAGTTTTCTTGTTCTTAAAAGTGTGACAGAGTAAAATTCCTGCGGTCTGCTAGGTCACAAGCTCACAGTATGTCTTTTTTTTAAATTTCCTAGTATCTGTGTTTCGGAGGTAAAGAGGCCAGTAATGACCACAACGACCAACTCTTCAGTTCTTAAAGGTATTGCACATCTTGGTGTTATTGCAATTAGAGCAGGGCGATATGGCCAAAAATATTTATCACGATATATATTTGAAAATTTGCGATAACGATATAACTGACGATATAATTGATGCGCGACAAAATACAACTCCACAATATTACTAGCGCAAAAAGACAACCTTCCATTTATTTTCACTTAAACAAGAAGCTGGTTTTTATGTACATTAAAGCTTTATAAAAATGTAACAGTGCAAATGCAAATTCCTTGCTGAAAGTTTAACCAAAAGGCATTTCCAGTGGAAATGGGCTGACATATCCTGAGCATAACCATGTATAATATCCACTGAAGTTAAAAAGAGGTGCTTTGCAACATTAAACTGCAGTGTGCAGTACGTATTTTTCGGACCATAAGGTGCACGGGATTATAAGGCACATTAAGCAAAACAAAGCAGTCAGATAAATCAAACTTTATTAAACTCATTCTTCTTGCTTCCTCCACTTCTGTACCATTGATTCATTAATGTTGAATTCTCTGGCAGCTGCTCTATTCCCATGTTGTTGCAGTATATTAATGACTAACCTCGTATTGTGGATGGATTATCTCAGTTGTTCTCCTGACTGAAGTTTGGTCCGTTTACAGCATCCTGCCATGCGATTGCATTTGTCTCTAACCATGAGGAACCTTCACGTTAACTTTTATAAGTGGAAAAGTGTTAAGTGTTCGTCCTCCAGCTGCACTGTTTATGTTATGCTAACATAGCTGTGTCGCTAATTATATACCAGCTAGCCCAACTTCAGTAACCCTACAAACGTCACTGTCATTTATGTTGGAAGTGATAGCAGAGCTGTAAGTTTGATTTTTTTTCAGAAATCTCTCAGTCAGAACTAGAGCTGGGCGATAGAACGATAACGATATGTATCGCGATATAACTTTTACTCGATAGAGAAATTAAGCTATTGCGATAGACCTCGCCGCTCTTGTCCTCTTTAAAAAAATAAAAAAAAAAAAGGTCAGCCAATCTAAATTAAGTAGCGCAGAGCCGAACCAATCACAGCCGCAGCGTCACGTCGCGTGACTTGTTACATACAGCACAAGTGCCAAGCCGCACGTGGGTTTGTTTGGGAAGCAGCCAGCGGGTAATGGAGCCAGCGCGTAATGGAGGAAATGAGTGTGCCGACTAGAAAAATCAACCGAGCGTGACCGAAGAGAAAACAGATGATGGTTCCAACGCCGGAGAGATTGTCGAACGGAAGAGCCATAGAAGTTCCGTAGTGTGAAGGTATTTCGGCTATTTCAAGTCTGACAAAAACAGAGTAGCGTGCACTGTAAATTGTGCCGAAAGCAAGTCTGGAAATACAATAAACTGGTGCATGCGTCACACTGTGCGCCACGTTATTGTTTCGGTGAAATGAATTTCTACAATACTGTTACTGTTAATTGTACTCTCTGCAGTGTTTAAATGCTTACATATACACACAGTTGCTGTCCGTCCACACATACGACTCGGTTCTGCTTCTATGCCCCAGCTTTGTTTACTTTTTCCCACCGAGGCTTCTAGACTTCTGATTGGCCAACATTTCTGCACGGTTAGGAATCTAGCGCCACCTGCTGCTTTGGCATGTTCATAGCAGCGTTTTCCTTCATTTCTGCCTTTATGTGTGGACGGGATTATTTTTTAAAACGAAAACGGAAAATCTCCGTTTTCAAAAATACCCGTGTACGTGTGGACGTAGCCTCAGTCTCTGACTGGAAGCGCTAATTCGTCATTCGGCTTTTGTCAGACTAAAGTAACTGTTAAAACTGTTTGAAAAGCTAAGCTATACAACAAGGAGAGATTGAGA